TTGTTTAAGGAAAGAATATTCCAGGTGGGCACTCAGATAGTGCCAATTCAAAATCTTTAGAAGAGTATATATGTATTTAGCCAAATCAGGAACCACAAAATTCAGTGTCTGGAATAAGAATACTGTTACTAATATGTAACTAAAACTGTAACACATAACTCTTTAATGACTGTAGATACAGTATAGTTCCCAAAATGACCCCCTTTCATTTTTAGAAACCACTGTTTGCAGAAAGTAAATCACCTTGAAAAATTTATGTTTGCAACCTTAGAATGGAGAATTCAGCCCCAGAATTAAATGGATAGCAACTCCGTATTAGCACCAGAATCATGCACTTTCGATATCCTGCAACACTGGCCCAGATATTCTGTTCAGGGTTGGAAACTCCATTTAGCTTAAATATTGTCCACACCTTTAGATGACCTCTGAGCTTGAGATTCCTGCTCAGGGGCCTCCAATTATGAACCTATCCAGGAATCTAGCAGCAAAGATTATCTGTGTAGAAACTCAAGCCCACTTTTGCGGCCCTTCGTGCCATATTCTGTAGCTTAAATAACCAGCAGACACACTAACAGCTCAAGGCAATGGGGAAGTGTTTAGAATCTGGCAGGAAGGAGAAGGCAATGGTGTTGGATCAGGCAAGAAGTGTTGGTCTGACAGACTTATGTGGGAGTCATCTAGAGAAAGGCGAGAGTGTTCAATGAAGTCAGGGGTCCAGTTTAATATTCACCCAATATGTAGAGTAGGTTTTTGATCCTCTAACCTTTCCTGAGTTACTGTGCAGCTCAAATGAGTTAGAACCCTCTGCATTCTCAAATTTTAAGGGACTTATTTGAAGTGTTCCAGATGCCTATCAGAATCTCCAGTTTCCCAGACAATTCCCACCATTGGAGATTCTGAAGTTAACTCTTGCCTATACAGCTCCAACAACCAACTCTACATTGGAATATCTGGGCCACCACATTTCACCAGAGTTTACACGCTGTGAGAGGGCAGCTCATTTGCATTGAGTAGGGAGGCAGATGAATATATTTTTGTGACCTCTGCCCTATAAAAGAGAACTGATCCAGGAAGTAACTTTAAAAAAAAACAATCCTCCTTAGGAATTGTAGGCCCCTTGTCAGGCCTAATGTCACCAGTTCTAATTCTCTTTCAGTACACCACCACTGAAACACAGGCTTCGACTGCAGATCAGTAACAGGAACACTTGGCATGGAGAACATCCACCAAAAGCCTGAACTTTGCTTTGTAAATGATGATCAAATATTCCAACCCTCACAAGGTAAATGGAAACTCCCAAGCACAGTGGATATCTGACACAATGTATTCTGGGTGGGGGATTTCAATGTCCACCACTAAGAGTGGCTCAGCAGCAGCACTACTGATCGAGCTGGTTGGATCCTACAGGACATAGCTGCTAGACTGGGTCTGCGGCAGGTGGTGAGGGAACCAACAAGAAGGAAAAACATACTTGACCTCATCTTCACTAATCTGCAGTTGCATCTGTCCATGACAGTATCAGTAAGAGTGACCATCACACAGTCATTGTGGAGATGAAGTACCGCCTTCACATTGAGAATAACTTCCATCATGCTGTGTGGAACCATCACCGTGCTAAATGGGACAGACTTCGCTCAGATCTAGCTACCCAAGACTGGGCATCCATGAGGTGCTGCGGGCCATCAACAGCAGCAGAATTATGCTCCAGCACAATCTGTAACCTCATGGCCCGGCACATCTCCCACTCAACCATTACCATCAAACCAGGGGATCAACCCTGGTTCAATGGAGAGTGTAGAAGGGCATGCCAGGAGCAGCACCAGACATAGCTGAAAATGAGGTGTCAACCTGGTGAAGCCACCAAACAGGACTACTTGCACACCAAACAGCAAAAGCAGCAAGTGACAGAGTTAAGCGATCCCACAACCAACAGATCAGATCTAAGCTCTGCAGTCCAGCCACATCCAGTCGTGAATGATGGCGGACAATTAAACAACTTACTGGAGGAGGAGGCTCCACAAGTATCCCCATCCTCAATGATAGAAAAGCCCGGCACATCAGTGCAAAAGATAAGGCTGAAGCATTCGTAGCAATCTTCAATCAGAAGTGCCAAGTGGATGATCCATCTCAGCCTCCTCCAGTGGTCCCCAGCATCACAGATACCAGTCTTCAGCCAATTCGATTTGCTCCACGTGATATCAAGAAACAGTTGGAGACACTGCATACTGCAAAGGCTACAGGCCCTGACAACATTTGGCAATAGTACTGAAGACTTGTGCTCCAGAACTTGCTGCTCCCCTAGCCAAGCTGTTCCAGTACAGTTATAACACTGGTATTTACCCAACAATGTGGAAAATCGCCCAAGTTTGACAAATCCAACCCGGCCAATTACTGCCAAAACCGTCTACTCTCAATCATCAGTAAAGTGATGGAAGATGTCATCAACAGTGCTATCAAGCAGCACCTGCTCAGTGATGCTCAGTTTGGGTTCCGCCAGGGCCACTCAGCTCCTGACCTCATTACAACCTTGGTTCAAACATGGACAAAAGAGCTGAGATCCAGAGGTGAGGTGAGATGAGAGTGACAACCCTTGATATCAAGGCTACATTCAATCAAGTGTGGCATCAAGGAGCCTGAGCAAAACTGGAATCAATGGGAATCCGGGGCAAACTCTCAGGTGGTTGAAGTCATGCCTGACACATAGGAAGATGGTCATGGTTGTTGGAGATCAATCATCTCAGCTCCAGGATATCTCTGCAGGAGTTCCTCAGGGTAGTGTCTTAGGCCCGACCATCTTCAGCTGCTTCATCAATGACCTTCCCTCCATCATAAGGTCAGAAGTGGGGATGTTCATAGTAACTGCACAATGTTCAGCACCATTCATGACTCCTCAGATACTGAAGTAGTCCATGTTCAAATGCGACAAGATCTGGACAATATCCAGGCTTGGGCTGATAAGTGACAAGTTACATTCGTGCCACACAGATACCAGGCTATGACCATCAACAATAAGAGACAATCTAACCATCGCCCTTGACATTCAATGTTACCATCACTGAATCCCCCATTATCAACATCCTGGGGGTTATCATTGACCAGAAACTCTACTTGACTCACCGCATAAACACAGTGGCTACAAGAGCAGGTCAGAGGCTAGGAATACTGCAGTGAGTAACTCACCTCCTGACTCCCAAAATCCTGTCCACCATCTACAAGGCACAAGTCAGGAGTGTGATGGAATACTCCACACTTGCCTGGATGAGTGCAGTCCCAACAATGCTCAAGAAACTTGACACCATCCAGGACAAAGCAGCCTTCTTGATTGGCACAACATCCACAAGCATCCAGTCCCTCCACCACTGACGCTCAGTAGCAGCAGTGTGTACTATCTACAAGATGCATTGCAGAAATTCACCAAAGATTCCTAGTCAGCACCTTACAAACCCATTACCACTTCCATCTAGAAGGACAAGGGCAGCAGACATATGGGAACACCACCATCTCCAAGTTCCCCTCCAAGCCACCCACCATTCTGATTTAGATAATAGAATCATAGAATCCTTACAATGTGGAAACAGGCTCTTCGGCCCAACAAGTCCACACCGACCCTCAGATCATCCCACCCAGACCCAGGCCCCTATAAACCCACCTAATCTACATATCCCTGCACACTATGGGCAATTTAGCATGGCCAATCTTTGCCCGCACATCTTTGGATTCTGGGAGGAAACTGGAGCACCCGGAGGATACCCACGCAGACACGGGGAGAATGTGCAAACTCCGCAAACACAGTTGCCCAACATTGGAATCGAACTCAGGTCCCTGGTGCTGTGAGGCAGCAGTGCTAACCACTGTGCCACCATGCCACCCCTGACTTGGAAATATATCGCCGTTCCTTCACTGTCGCTGGGTCAAAATCCTGGAATTCCCTCCCTGATAGCATTGTGGGTCAACCCACAGCAGGAGGACTGCAGCGGTTCAAGAAAGCAGCTCACCTCCACCTTCTCAATGGCAACTAGGGATGAACAAGAAATGTTGGCTAGCCAGCAACGCACATCCCACAAATGAATAGAAAAAAAAACAACTAGGTGTACTATATTGCTCACTGACCTCCCATAGAAAGTTTTGATGGGAGATCAGTAGAATCACTTTGAAATTGTTTTTGAAAGCCTGAACCCCCTGCATTCAAAAATGATAAATGCTAAAATTGCCACATCTCATGAACAAATAATTTAAAAATGAATTAATTTACCTTGTTGGGGCAGGAATCAAACAATTTTCCAATTCTGCTGTTAAAAGACCAATTGTTTCTCTCCAACAAGAGGGAAATACTAAATACACCAAACACGCAACAACAAACCATATTTCATGAGTTGTCAAGTGGCACTGGACAAGATTATTTGAGAATATAAAGGATGGCAAATCTAAATACTAAACTTTTTCCATTATGCTATAGCCTCAATGTACAGTAAACCACTGTGCTTATAAAATTTAAACAACTAGTGACCAAGAACATAGTTCCCTCAGTTAGAAAAATCTCTACTTGCTAAGTTTTACTGAAGGCTATATGTGTCTTTCTTGGTCTCAATGAAGCATGACAATATTTTATGTATTTAATAGTTGCACAAACTTAAGTGGAAGAGGTCAGGAATGATGTCTGACATTGCAGCAAAAGCAAAATAGTACAGCAAATAAGTTTCCACGAGTTCCTGAAATTTACTCTTTACTATGTGGAAGGACAAGCAGACTAACACAACGTGTAAGCCCTTACTTTACTTCTGATTCAACTAATTCAAATACTCTGCACAAATCAGGTTCACACTGGTGTAACGTTTTATGTTTGAAGTTTGATACTGATACTATCCAAATATCATTTAATGGTCTTAAATCAAAACATTAAGACAAATGAAGATTCATAAAGCAAGTCTTATATGACATGAAAAGGTATTTTGAATGTATATTGATCCAATGTACCATTTGCAAAGTAGATAAACACTTACCATTTTAATGCCAGTTGAGAATGTGACAGATCTGACTTGCCGCTGTGCTTCCAACTGTGTTTCCAGTTGTGCAGCCCGGTCTTTATGCTGAGCCAAAAGCATGCTTGCAGGCAACTGGGAGCTTTCCTACCAGACATATTAATGACAGATTACAGCTTTAAGCAGTGAGAAAGAATCCCCTTGTTCCCCAAATTGAGGTACAGAGGCATAGGAAGGATTCCTAACATACCATACTTAGTAACTAACTCAGGTTACTAACCTGACTAATTAGAATTAACAACATTTTTGTTCTTCAGAAATTGAGTTTAATATTCCACAAAACTGAATTTGGATTTCCACTGACTCCTTTTTAAAACGTTTACTTTTCTTTTCTGTCTGATAGTCATCTGAAATTTAAATAGTTACTTACTTGTGTGCCTGGCAATCTAAACGATAACTATTTCACTTGAGTGATGAGATTAAAAATTATGTCATTACTCAAAAAATGACTATCCTCAGAATAATCTCTTATCCTTCGTTTTAAAGGCATAATAGCTCCTTCTAACATGTTTATTAAAAAGGAAAATACATACAGAGAAACTTACAGTACTAAAGGAGACTTTCAGCCCAATTTACCTATGCCAGCCAAAAGAGCTATCCAATCTAATCCTGCTTTCCATCCATTGATCCATGCTCATGTAGATTGTGGCTCCTTAAGAGCACTTCCAACTACTTGCCAACTGGAAGCAGGAGCTCTGTCCTTCTTCCTCTTCCAGGCAGTCAGTTCCAGACTCCCACCACTCTTTATAATCATTTTTCCAATTATTTTAAATCTATGCCCTCTTGCTATTGATATCTCTGTCAAGGTAAAAAAGTACTATCCAACCACTTGAGGGGCGGCACATTGGCTGTGGTTAGCACGGCTGTCTCAGAGCACCAGGGACCCGGGTTCGATTCCATCCTTGGGCAACTGTCTGTGTGGAGTTTGCACATTCTCCCCGTGTCTGCGTGGATTTCCTCTGGGTGCTCCAGTTTCCTCCCACAGTCCAAAAGATGTGCAGGCTAAGTTGATTGGTCCTGCTAAATTTCCCGTAGTGTTCAGGGATGTGCAGATTAGGTGGGTTATGTGGGATGCTGAGGGTATGTGTGAACTTGTTCGGCCAAAGGGGCTGTTTCCACTTGTAGGGATTCTATGATCTATGATCTTTCTAGACTTAATAATTTTGTATCCTCAATTAAATTTCTCCTTGTGCCCCACTGTTTAAAAGTAAACAGCCCCATGTGATCCTTAATGTCATGAAATGGATTAGTCTAGATAGTTGTAGAAGGAATGTTTCCAGCTTCTTTAAGGATGTTTCTTGCTTGCCTTTATTGGACAGTGCATTTAGGATAGGAGTTGGGAGGTCATGTTGTGGCTGTACAGGATATTGGTTAGGCCACTTTTGGAATATTGTGTGCATTCTGGTCTCCCTGCCACAGGAAGGATGTTGTGAAACTTGGAAGGGTTCAGAAAAGATTTACAAGGATGTTGCCAGGGTTGGAGGGTTTGAGCTATAGGGAGAGGCTGAATAGGCTGGGGCTATTTTCCCTGGAATGTCGAAGGCTGACGAGTGACCTCTTAGTGGTTTATAAAATCATGACAGGCATAGATAGGGTAAATAGACAAGGGGGGAGTCCAAAACTAGAGGGCATAGGTTTACGGTGAGAGTGGAAAGATTTACAAGGGACCTAAGGGGCAATGTTTTCAAACAGAGGGTGATCTGTGTACGGAATGAGCTGCCAGAGGAAGTGGTGGAGGATGGTACAATTAGAACATTTAAAAGGCATCTGGATGGGTACACGAATAGGAAGGGTTTGGAGGGATAATGGGCCAAATGCTGGCAAATGGGACTAGATTTATTTAGGATAGTTGGTCGACATGGCTGAGTTGGACTGAAGAGTCCATTTCCATGCTGTACATATCAATGACTGTATGGCTCTAATTAAAAACTACAGTCATAAATCCAAAATAATTATTAATAAATCCAATAGGTAGAAAAAGTGTGAAATTTATTTATTGCGAGAAGAAATCATGCTCATTGCTGTCCTGTATAGTACCTAATTAGATCTAACCTTTACTTTTTGCCGATATCAAAGCAAACAAAAATGTAAACAATACTCCACTTCAGCTGACAAAAGTACGCTATTATTTTATACTTCCATTTTAAATTATGCTTTGCAGTGTATGTGCTTACAACTAACAGAAATCACATTTTCAATTTTTTCACTGTGGTGAGGCTGAGAGTTTCTTTTTGTGTGTGGAACAATTTCCTATTCATTGCGTGCTTCGCACACAAATAAATAACTCCCAGCCTCACCACAATGAAGACACTGAAAATTTGATTACTGATGGCTGTGAGCACATACACCACACAGCATTATACTGTACTATTATACATTATACTATAAGCCAAATAAATCAGAAGATACTACGTGCAATACATGGTCATGTTGACTTCGTTCAAGCAAAGCAGCGGTTTGGACATGACAAATGCCTTACCTCAAATGAAAAAATAAATAATCAGGATTTCTACTCCTGATTGCTATACAGCAACTAATGTTGGGCATCATGGAGGAGGTAAGAGGAAAAAAAGTCACATACCCAGTTCTACATTGCATTGATGCTGCTTCTTGCAATATAGTTTCACAAGAAAAAGTAGTAAACATAAAAAAAGCATGTGTGGATGCTGCATGACAACAATATTATCACTGTTCAATTTAGTTTGTTATTTGTTCATTTGCATAATAACTTATCTAAATCAGTTATCTATAAATAGTTTTCTGCACCTTCTGCTGTTCATTCTCTCCATTTTAGTGTCAGCAGTATAATGTTTGATTCTTGGAACAAAGTCACTTAGGTAGGTGCAACATGAAATGGGGTACACACAATGTATCCTTTGGTCTGATATTATACTGCTCATGAGTATACAAATAAATCTTTCTTTAAAATCCAGTCTTATGTTCTACTCTGGATTCCTGCAGCTTTAGCTTTAATTAGAAGTTTTCTTTTAAATAGAGAGTCGAGTCAAAAACTTTCTGAAAGCTTCGAAAACTGGAACTTGCAGAGCTACTTTAAAGCTTATGTTTAACACCTGCAGAAGTAGTCGAGGAATTTCATTAGCCAGCAGGACTCCCATTCAAATCAACACATGATGTGATGTAAGCTGTGTGATTTTATATACATATAAAATAATATACTTAAAATATTATCATTTATATTAGAACTTGGACTTTGACCCAGTGGCATGAGAGTTTTGGTCTGTGCGTATGAGTGAGTTTAATGATAACTTGTGACTATTTCTGGAGCCACGAATTGTTTTTAAGCCAGTAGGAGAGAGATAGTCCCTGGGTTGATGATGGAAATTGTTTGCACTGGGAAAGTTTTACAAGTAGCTTTCAGTCAGAAGGAAAAGGGGTTGTTTTCCTTTTGTTCAGGGCAAACACCCATAGCTTGGAAACATTTGGCTTCAGTTTGTAGACAACCTCCTTGAAATTGCATGTGTGAAACAGTTCTCTTGGAGCAAAGAGTTACTTCAAAAAAGTTAGAAACAGGTTGCAAAAACAGAAGTTGCTGGAAAAGCTCAGCAAGTCTGGCAACATCTGTGAAGAGAAACCAGAGTTAACGTTTCGGGTCTGGTGACCCTTCCTCAGTTCTGACAAACTAATGTTGGACATCATGGAGGAGGTAATTCATAGAATTCACAGAATCCCTACAGTGTGGAAACAGGCCCTTCGGCCCAACAAGTCCACACCGACCCTCACAGCACCCACCCAAACCCATCCCCCTATAATCCACCTAAGAGGAGAAAAGATCATATATCCAGTTCTACATTGCATTGGTGCTACTTCTTGCAATATATACAGATGCTGCCAGACTTGCTGAGCTTTTCCAACAATTTCTGTTTTTGTTTCTGATTTACAGCATCCGGAGTTCCTTCCATTTTATTTAGAAACAGGCTACCTCAGTGTATGAGTTTTAGTTTGAAAGCTCCAGAGCAAAAGTGTTTGGCTTGGATGAAGAGATTATTTGAAGCTAAGAAAATCTAAACTCAGTTGTGTAAATACAAGGAAGAGGCTGTCAAATTCTCATGACCTGGAATTGAAAACAATTAAGTCAAATCTATAGCTGTGATGGAGAAGGGAATTATTTCTCTCTCTCTCTAGTATATGTAAAAGTCTGCTGTTGGAATTGATGGAATTTGTAATTTTTGGTTTGTTTTGAAATATTTCAAATTTTGTTATATGTAAATAACTTGGTTTATTCTATTTTATCACTTTTTTGGAATAAATTTCTCTTTTATTGTTAAAACCAGATCTGCAAAATTGCATGTTTGCGTTTTAGTGAAAGACCACCTCCTTAAATAAAAAGATGCATAATCTATCAAGCCGGATTTCAGTCTTGGGTCTGGATCGTCTAGTAATAATTTAAAGAGCGATCACGACAGAACGTATGAAATAGGAGCAGGAGTACACCATTCAGCCCCTTAGCCTGCTCCACCTTCAATAAGATCATGGACAAGCTTTTTGTGTTTCAAATTCCACATCTACCCCCAATAACCCTCGAATCCTCTACCTAACAAGAATCTATCCATCTCTGCCTTAAAAATATTCAGTGACCCTGCTTCCAATGCCTTCTAAGGCTGAGTGTTACAAAATCACACAGCCGTCAGTAAAAATGGCTTCTCATCTCCATCCTAAAAAGGCAACATCTAATTCTCAAATGGTGCCTCTCCAACATTATCTCAGTTACTACTGCAAACCACAGCTGAAACGCTGTGAACAGTTTCAGGCCCCTTATCCAAGAAAAAGATATACTGGCATTAGACGATCTGGAGAAAGTTCATTAGGCTGATACCAGATACAGAGTAAATTGATCCTGTACTTGTTGGAATATAGAATAAGAGGCAATCTTATTGAAACAAATAAAGATTCTTAGAGGACTTTACAGGGTAGCTATGGACAGGTTGTTTCCCCTGTGCGAGAGTCTCATACCAGAGGGCATAATCTCAGAATAAGGGGTCACACATTGAAGGCAGAGATCAGGAATAATTTCTTCTCTCAGATGATAGTGAATCTATGGAATTTTTTTTACCACTGAGAGTCGTGAGGCTGGGTCATTAAGTATACTCAAGGCTGAGATAGACAGTTTCTTAAATCAGCAAAGAATCAATGGTTATGGGGAAAAGGTAAGTAAGTGGAGTTCAAGATTGTCAGATCAGCCATCGTCTCATTGAATGGCGGAGATTCAAGGGGATGAATGGTCTACCTCTGTTCCTACGTCTTACAGTCTTAATAATCGCCTGGCTAATGTTAAACAATCTACCTTTTATAATGGATGTCAGTACTTTACATATACTAATGAACAGTCAGTTGCCAGAGTCAGATTTGGTGCTTTCTTTAACTATAAGAACTGATTTAAAACTCACCAGCAAATAGCTATTTTTATTTAAGGATCAGGATTCACTAATTATCTCTGATATTCTTCAGCAATCTTAAATATATATCTGTATTGAAAGACGTGTGGCATCTGGCATATGTCATATGGTTTCAGATCTATACTTACCAGGTCATCAATCAGGGCCTTTTTATTTTTCTTTTTGGCCAACTGTTGCATTTGTTCTTCCTTCAGAAGGAGCATTCGTCTTTGATCACTCTCCTGCCGTTCAAATTCTAAAGCTTCTTCTAAGTCTTCCTGCTCCCGGCTCTAAAATGGAAAGCAAGAATGTTTTCTGACACATATAGATTTCACTTCACAAAAACCTACCCGATTAATAATTCAAGTATAATAAATTACCTAAATCCCTAAATAAAAAACGAAAGAACTGCGGATGCTGTAAATCAGGAACAAAAACAAAGTTGCTGGAAAAGCTCAGCAGGACTGGCAGCACCTGTGAAGGGAAAAACAGAGTTAATGTTTCAGGTCCGGTTCTGAGGAAGGGTACCAGACCCGAAAAATTAACTCTGTTTTCTCCTTCACAGGTGCTGCCGGACTTGCTGACCTTTTCCAGCAACTTTATTTTTATACCTAAATCCCTAGTTGGGGCAATCTAATATTTCCAATAGTAATGCACTGTGATTTCAATAATGACTTCAAGCATATGGTCATGTCTTAGAATACCAACTTTAATGAGTATTTGCATTCAGCTAAGCTCAGTGGGAAGGTTTCAATAAACGTCAACAAGAAAGGTGCATGAAGCAATTACAAGGAGCCAATGTCCTGAAAAAACATGGGCTAGCAGGGACAACAGATATGCTTAGAATTATGCTTCTTTTCGATTAGCCACTGCTCTAATTTTCTTTTAAATACTGCGATAATTCTACAAGGAAACACAGTATAATAACAGAAGGCAATTGGAGTAACCAATAAAGGGGCCTAATATAAATCACTTCTAGCCAGTTTCAGCCTCATCCAAAACAATGAAACCACTTGAAAAAGTAATCAACATTATTCTGTGTGACTATGTTCATTGTGCATCCTTTATCTCTGTGGCCTTCCAGTGCTGAAACTTTAAGTCCATCTTGTAGTCCCAATTATTCAACAGTCTCTATGGGGCTCTGAAGTTCTACATTATTAACACTAAGCAGCTCAAAAAAACGTTGCCTGTACTCTAGCCCTCTCAAAATCCACTTTCAAATGCCACATTTCCATTCAATGCTGATGTTTTAATTAATGATTACACATGGCTAAGAGGTCACCTTGCTATCAACAAATCAGTTTTAAAATCCTTGTCTTCATAATGTTTCAAGTTTTGCAAAGTTTTCTGAACTAGATTGCTGCTTCTTTCTCTCAACTCTGATTTACTTGAAAGGCTTTGGCCATCTTGCCTCCATATAGTGTATCTCTCTCTCTCATGCTTTATCATCTTCTGTTCTTCCTCACTTTCAAAAGCTTACATTTATTTTCCAGCGGACTATCGGTTCCTATCCGTAACCTGTGCCTACACGAATCTAAGACCTTATCTCTTAAAGGGGCTAGATAAATGTAGGTTTTATTTTTAAAAGTAGTTTTTGACATTAGGTTATTATATTGAAAACTACAGAATCAAATGTAAAAGATTTTACTTCACAAACATAGCAATGCTATATAGCAACATCCTAAATATCTCAAGGAATATTACAGGAGATCAAAAATACATGGATGATTGGTTACAGGAAATGACTGATGGCACAGTTGCAACAACGCTTTTTTCAGGAGACATTTAAAATAAGAAAGGAGCTACCAACGCAAAAAAAAATGTACATGCACAGTGGCTGAACATTTCACCACGAATTGTGGAACAAAAAGTGGGAAAAAAAATGATAGCATATGGCAGGGAAGAAGCTGTTCTTGAACCTGCTGGTGCGTGTGTTCAAGCTTCTGTATCTTCTGCCTGACAGAAGAGGTTGTAAGAGGTGGGATGGGCCTTTGATGATATTGGCAGCCTCTCTAGCAATGGATCCACTTTTGTTTACTATTTATTTAAACAATTTTAGGAGACATGGTTAGTAAGTTTGCCAATAACATCAAAAGTGATGGTATTATGGACAGTGAAGAAGATTATCTAAGATTACAAAGAAATCTTGATCAATTGGGTCAATGGGCTGAGGAGCTGCAGATGGAGTTTAATTTGAATAAATGTGAGGTATTGCATTTTGATAAAACAAACAAGAGCAGGGACTTAAACAGTTAATGGTAGGGCCCTGGGTAATGTTGTAGAACAAGAGAGACCTAGGGTTTAAAGTACATAATTCTTTGAAATTTGTGTCACATGTAGACAGGGCGGTTAAGAAGGCGTTTAGCTTGCCTTCATTGCTCAGACCTTTTGGGATGTTGTGTTGAGGTTCGTGAGGCCTCTACTGTGTATAGTTCTAGTTACCCTGCTGTAGGAAAGACATTATTAAATTGGAAAGCATTCAAAGAAGATTTACTAGGATGCTGCTGGGAATGGAAGGTTTGAATTATAAAGATAGGCTGGATACGCCAGGACTTTTTTCACTATGTCATAGGAGGTTGAGAGGTGACATTCTAGAGCTTTATAAAATCATGAGGGGCATACGAATAGCAAGGATCTTTTCCCGAGGGTAGGGGAGTTCAAAACTAGGGAACATATTTTTAAAGTGAGAGGAGAAAGATTTAACAAGGACATGAGGGGCAACTTTGTTTCACAGAAAGGGTGGTTTGTATGTGGAGTAAACTACCAGAGGAAGTGGTGGATGCGGGTACAGTTACAACATTTAAAAGACATTTGAAACGTAAACGAATACAAAAGATTTGTAGGGATATTGGCCAAACACAGGCAAACACAGGACTACTTTCATTTGGGAACATGGTTGTTATTGACTAGTTAGACCAAAGGGCATGTTTCCATGCTGTTTGAGCCTATTTTCTGATGTATTGATCTTCATGCAAGAGTCCAATTCTTCCCCAGCATCCATGCTTGGTACACATTCAACAAGAGTAACTGAATAGTGATTTACGTGGAAGACTGTAGTTTTTTTCCTCCATTACTTTAACACACAAGATTGGTTAACTCTGATAGATCACCAGACAGCAAACATATAGCATTACTGAACTGAATAGCTCAGTAACACACCAGGTACTGAGTTTAGACCGGATCCAAAAAAGCCCTTGTTAATAACTATTCTAAAATATTGAAGTAATTTCACATTTTTAATTGAAGTACAGTAATTACACATGATGACAGACCTCTAATTGTTTAATGGTTTCTGCCCACACAAGATAATTTAGATATTTTAATATAACAGTATACATAACAATAATATTATAAGAAATTAGAGAATTTTTATCCTTCATTAAGAAAGCAAAATAAAAATAAACACAGAAATACTTCACAACTGAATAATTATTGTGAGATATTAGGATTTTAAAAATAATCTGCAATTTAGGTTAGATTTCTGCTAGTATTTTAAAATATTCAACACTTTATATTGTGCCTTTGATGTATTTACGAAACACCCCAAGAGCTTCGCAGGTGAATTACAAATTAGAATATGTCACCAAGCCACATAAGGAGATATTAATCAGAAGACCAAATGTTCTGTCAAAGAAGTAGGTTTCAAGAAGTGTCTTAAAGGAGGAAAGCAAGGCAGAGACACAAAAGCAGGGGGAAGATTCCAAAACTTGAACTCAAGGCAACTTAAGACACAGCCACCAATGATGGTACAATTGTGATTGGGTATTTGCAAGAGGCCAGAAGTAGAATAGTAGATATCTCAGAGGTATCAGAGGCAGGAAAAGATTACAGAATATGGAGGGAGAAGGCTATGGAGAGACTTGAAAACAAGGATGAGAATTTTTAAATCAAGATGTTGCTTGCCCCATTTTGAATCCGTGAGCACAACAATGAGGAGGTAATGAGGTTTCCTTGGAGTTAAGAAGGGTGCAAATTTTTGGATATCTTCAAATTTAGAGAGCACAGAATTTGGGAGACTAGCAAAAGGGCATTGAAATAGTAAAAACTAGAAGAAACAGCTCATCTTGCTCTTTTGTACTTCAAGGACTTATGGAGGGAGCTAATAATCAAAAAATTATAGAATCCATTAACACAAATTCTGTTACTGTGGTATATTTAGGAGATCAGCCAGACTTTTACTGGCTTGCCACCTAAGCAACTGTCCATGTGAACGTGGAACAAATAGTTCTGAAACATAAACAGAAACTGCTGAGAAAGCTCAGCTGGTCTGGTAGCATCAAAAATGTCAGTTTATATGCAGAAGACAGGGTGAGGATGAGGACTAAGGAGTAAATGATACGTGGGGATAGGACCCAAAGAGAGAGGAGAAGAGTTGAACAGACAAAAGAGTGGATAACGATCTGGCTAGAAGAGTGAATAGCCATTAATGGAGACTGTTAGTGGTTAACAATGGGTTGTGTGTAACAGCCGACTATGTGTTAACAAGGACTGATTTGTGGAGTTGGGATAAGGACTTGGGTGGGCTCAAGTTCTGAAGTTATTGAACTCAATATTGGGTCAAGAGGGCTGCAGAGTCCCCAAGCTAAAAACACGGTGTTGTTTTTCCAGCTTGCGCTGAGCTTCACTGGAGCACTGCAGCAAGCCTGAGACATAAATGTTGGCCAGGGAACATAGTGGTATGGTGAAGTGACAGGCAACTGGAAGTTCAGGGTCATTTTTGTGGATGTAAGTGTTCTGCGAAGCAGTCACCCAGTCAACGCTTTGGTTCCCCAATGGAGAGCAGACCCCATTGTGAGCAGCAAATGTGTGAAGTGCAGGTGAAGGGCTGCTTCACCTGGAAGGTGTATTTGGGCCCTTGAATACGGAGGAGGGAGCAAGTAAACGGACGGGGTGTTACACCTTCTGCATTTGCAAGGGAAAGTGCTGTAAGGCTGTAGGGGGTGGTGTTGGGAGTGAAGGAAGAGGGGGCCAGAGTGTCCTGGAGGGAACAGTCCCTGCAGAAAGCTGACAAGGGAGGGGACTGGAATATAACATTAATAGCTACTCATCCTTCTAGCTAGATCGTTATCCACTCCTTTGTCTAACCGTTCTCCTCTCTCTTTGGGCTCTATCCCCACCAATCGCTTACTCATTCGCCCCACTATCCTCCACCACCCCTCCCCCCCGCCCACCCTATCTACTGCACATAAACTATGATTTGCCTAGCTACCATCAGTTCTGAGGAAGGGGCACTCAACCTGAAACATTAACTCTTATTTCTCTCCACAGATACTGCCAGACCTGCTGAGCT